GAGGCACTGAGTTTTATAAATATGAGCATGATAGTGTAGAATAATCATGTCCAAGGACCAGTGGTGGGTTTCAAAAATTTTGGGAACCTCTTCTGTAGGTGTGGCCTGCTTTCCGGATCCACTGGTGGAACCTCTTCTAACCAGTTCGGTAGATTTGATGAACCGGTTCTACCGAATAGGTGCGAACTGGTAGGAACCCACCTCTGATCTCCTGATACTCAAACTACACAAGTTTTCACCTGTTGTTTTCAATATATGAGGGGTGGACAGATTAATTAAACACAAACTATTCGATCAACTGAAAACCCCACAAATAATTAATAATTGTTGCTGTTATTGCACCCTTCCAGACTATATATGATTACTATTAAAACCATGGAATCTGGCATCGCAGACGTCTCAAGGTCAAACTATGTTCAGGATGTATTTATTTCTTAGGCACCTACTACAAATGGAGGCCATACTATCTGGGACCAACGTTACTCTCTAGTGTGCCCAGGACATCAAGAGGTTTGTTTGGAGATTGGGAAAGTGGCACAATTAATTTTAGGCGAGCTTCCACTTTTGCAGAAATATTGAAAGAAAGATAATTGCCTTACCCCACCTAATTATTCCAGAGATTTCCCCTTCTTTTCTACAGTCAAGGTGGATTGGGGTTGATGGCTCAGAAGAGTGGCTTTACTACTCAGCATCAACTGTGGCAAGTGGGCCTTTTCCTAAATTTCTCCTCTTAGTCCAAAAAGCAAACACAACAAAGGGAAAATAAGGATGTGAACAAGCACTTGCAGGACATTATTTTTTGGCACTCTCATATTGCACTGCTGAAGGGAGCATTGGGAGAACAGAGCACTGGAAGACACTCAATTCTGGCTCTGGACCTGTGGCAAGGAAGTTGCCAACTGGGTGGAAATGCTTTTAGTGGAGAAACAAAAGGGGAAGGGCCATAGCTTACTGACAGAATCCATGCTTTCAAAGATGATTTGCCTAAGCCTTGTCCTCTGCAGGTGCCCTGGGTAAAAATTTCCAGAATCTCAGCCACAAAACATGGGTTAATACAATGTGTGAACCCAGGCAATTACTGGATTGGGTAAATAGTTTGAATGAATGAATGAATTCATATGCTCAATATTTTGGCTACATGAAAGGCTAAAATATAATTTTTCTATAACAAACAGTTTGCTGTCAAACTGTTATAGTTTTATATTGCTAATGATTGATTATACGTTGTACATTTCTGTCAGTGGTGGATTTCTAATTTTTTTCCTATTGGTTTGCTTGTGCGCACTTGCACGCTTGCAATACTTCTGTGCTTGCGCAGAAGTGTCCGGGCGGGTGGCTGGAGCCTCCCGCTGCTACTACTACCAGTTTGCCCAATCTGGGCTGAACCGGGAGCAACCCACCTCTGACTTCTGCAGCCTGGGAGACTGGATCCAATAGTATTTTACCTCTTCCCAAATGTATAAACAGAATCACGGCAATATAATGTCCCTCAGAAGGAAGCAAAGCAAACCTGCAGTTGAGGTTTCACCTCTGTTTAAAGAAAAATATGTGAATACATTTGGAGCTCAAATTTACTGCAGCTTTCTCTAACCTGACATACCCAAGTATGTCAACTTGACCCAAGGGCTCAACTGCTACCATTTCATCCCCAGCCAAGCAGGCTATGCTGGCTCAGAAACAAAATGGAGCTGAAGATTTTCCACACTGAAGCAAGCTAGATTCGAGAGTGGGTCTGGAAAATTGAGCCTGGGAAAAAAATTAGGTTAGAGTCCTAACCTAATTAGAGTCATTCAGTCTTGAAGTATACAACTCACCAGATTAGGCTGTAATGGGATTGGATAATTTGTGATTCCAAATTACATTGTGGGAACTCATCATTCCATTATTATTTAGAATGTTGAATAAACCAGGCCATCATATTAAACCATAATATTGATAATTTGGATTCATCAGGATATCTTTCTAACCCCAGAAGAAAGACACTGTATTAAAAGGATACAGTGTAATAAATACGATGCACAATATGTGCTAAAGAGGTGAAATATTCTCACTGAACACTTTTTATTATCTTTTGCCCAAAGTCAGTCTATATGTTTCTTCAGCTGTTCTAGCTTTAAGATTTCAGTCTATTGCCAATTTACGCTTTTGCTTACAGATAATCTATTATATCTCATGAAAAATCTTGACCTGATGATGGAGTGGCATCCTTGGTGTTCCTGTTGTATGGTTAATGCTCTGCAGGGTGCTCTTTCCTCCATTCACTACCAGTAATCATTGCTGTTCATGGGCAGTTTGGTTTGGGCTGCAGAAGAATCCAGATATCTGTTCTATGGTGATACCTACTTTAATGCTGCCTGATATCTTTTGTTTGTTTGTTTGGGGTTTTGGTTTTTTTTTTTTGCAATTCATATTCAGACATTACTTAGGTTCCTTAAATACACTAGTATACTGGTCTTCTGGAAGACCACTAGCCTTTTTACTACACATATGTTTAATGGTCTTTCAAAAACTGGTCAGTAAAAAGATTGGCTGTTAGTCAATTTAAACTGGAAAAAGGGTATTGCTTCTGTCCCAAATGAAGTTTCTACTAGAGAGTTTCAGCCTCATAAATCGGTGACTTCTTTTTTGTTGACAATTGATTTGGAGTGGAGTGGAGAGAAAGTCAAAGGACTGTATGGATCCCTGCCCTTAAATGATTCCCCGGAGGAACTAGACACACAAGATCACTTGAAAGATTTGCTACTGAGGCCAATTAGGGTTTGATTATCAGGGCACTACAAATTATGTTGGCATATTTTTCTGCCCTCTTGGGAGCTAGTGGTGTGTCAAGATATCTTACGTTCTAGGAGCACACAAAAGAAACAATTGGGACAGAAATTCCTCTTGTGCTTATTGCAGAATATGTGTGCATGCGTTTGTGTTCATGCATATACACCATTCACTACAGCCAGTCAACTTTAGTACTTTTTTTGATTGAGCTTAAAACAACAGTATATGAAATGGATTCCCTCCAATTTAATTTATATTATTCTATGCCTATCTATATTAGTTTTATAGCCTCCCATTCTTCCAGGAGCTCAAGGCGGCATATTTCCTCTTCTAATTTGCCCCCATGACCACAACCCTGTAAAGTAATTTGGGGTAAGACATGATGACTGGTACGAAGTTGACTAGGTCAGCTCAAAGCTGGATGTCTCCACAAATGCATGAACCACTACACCCTGCTGTTTCTTCTTAGACATTGTCCTACGGCTGACAATTCTGGGGTGCTGACAATTTCCATAAATAAAAGATAGCACAACTGGTGGGGTTGTGGAATAATAACCCATCTTAGAAATTAATGTCATGCCCTTGGCTTTTGCAATCTTCAGAGCATATGGAGGCAAAAGTGTCCCCTTAAAGGTTTTCTTTTAAATAAATTATCAGGGAACCAAACGAGAACATACTTGCAAAAGACACAGCATGGGATTTTAACACAACATTTTAAGGCAAATACCCAGAAAGCCTGAGACGTGTTCTATTCAGGTAGCTCAACCAGGGTAATACATTTTGTCTAATGTCATCAGAAGAGAATGAAGGGCACCCCTGCTCTGCTCAGAGAAGAAACAGAAAGAGAAGTTGCAGACTTACGGAGGAAATATTCTGCTGTGTCGGCTTCATACTCTGTGTCCTCGAGGAAGTGATCGATTTGCTTACACAGACCTTTAAAATTCCCTACAATACAAGAGAAGAAACAATAAATGAGGACACCAGAAACTGGAGGAGGAGCTTCCTTTCAGTCTTCTTTATTTAATTTGATTTAATGTTATTTCACCATTCACCAAATGCCCCATTTTTTGCTATAGGGCATCCAGATGTTCTACCCCTGCTATACTAGTATGTTTTCTGACTGCAAATAGTGTGCTGTTGAGGAAATGTAACTTTCTCCCCTTATCTGTCTCAGCAAGAATTTATATTCATTACAGTGAAGAGAATGTGGAAGGAGATTACACAGGTATCAAAGTCACCTATTTGATAAGGCTCATGGCATTATTGTGCTGAGTTTGAGGCATCCATTTTAAAACAGCCCATGCGCACACAGAGTGACATGGGGACATACACAGTTTTCTGCAGAAATCCAATTCATTAAAGATATTATAACTTCACAAAGAAGCAAGAGGCTCGAAGGTAACTGTAACCATTTAATGAACAAGTAACGTTGTAACAAGTAACACAAGTAGACCGGGCAGGATGCGCGGTAGATAGGGAGGTCTAAACAGTAGACAGGGAGGTCTGAACAGTAGACCGGTAGCTTCCGCGGCTATGAAGTAGATCGGGGAGTCGTTGGAAATATTCTGCCTTTTATACTCGACAGGCGCGTCTTAGCCAATCAGACGCGCCTGTCAGTTGCCGAGCTGTCATTCACAAGTGCGAGGACTTGCGAATGCTATATAACAAAAGACAATAATTTAAGACTTCCTTTTTACTTCTTTGAAGGTTACACACCAGCTGTTCTATAAACATTTCTGTGTTGCCTTAGCAGCTTGATAATCAGTCTAACTCCTAGCTCAAAACTCAGAGCTACCTTCTTGGTGTCTTCCCTGCATGAATAGCATCGGATACAGTATTGACCCATTGAAACTAATAAGATTATATTTCAGCTAAGAATAAAATATAAGTTTTGTTTTTAACTTCTTTTCCATCCCTAACCAGATACGTATCAAACAACCAAATGCAAATGATGTGGGGTATGATGTCCTTCCATCCACTCCTACTTATAATTATTTGGTGATATAGCATGCTAGTCACGTACACCGATACACACCCATTTCATATTCATATACATAGGGATTAAATCTATGGCCTATATTCAGATGCTGTAATTGTGAATGCCTGTAGCAAGTCATTTTTCTTGATGCAGGATTTAACACTAATATTAATGAATATGGCAACTCTATACATGGCATTAAGACAGAGGAAATGTTCATATAACACACTGACTTTAGTTACTCATTTAATTTATGTTCTGGCTTCATAGAATTCACTGAATCATAAAGTAATTACATGGGATGGATTCACACAGACCTTCTCTCCCAAAAAATAAACCTCAGCAAAGTTAAGGTTAGGCAGACTTCATCTATTATACAATCACTAGATCTTAAATTGATATGGATTAATCATGTTATATGAAAACAGACACAGAGTCTGCTTCCCAGTATTTACAATCCCATCTCTGATTACAGTTACTACTACAGTTTCAGTTGGGAATTGCTGGAGAAGACAGTTCACTTTAGGTTGATGACCAACTTCATTGCTGTCATCCTTACTACTGGTAAGTATCAGCTTCATCCAAGCTGGTATCCTACCAGTTGTTGGATCTCATTTTCCATAATTCCCAGACAACCTGGCTAAAGATTGTGTAGGAATTAGGGAGCTTCTACCATATTTTCCAAAGACATCAAGAAGACAAGCATGCTATGCATAATGTACATTTTAAAATAAAAGAATCCAGATTAAATTCACTATCACACTAGAAACATTAAGTGTAAAGGAAATGACTGCCTAGTTGCAGGACCAACTTATTCATTAAGCATAGTTGGTACAGTGCCTAGGGGCCATGAAAATATTTTAATTTTTAAAAATCTGCAAGAATAAAAATGAAGTATTTTCATGCCTTGAAAATATACACAATAAATAGAATGCAAGCTCATAAATTACAAATAAAATATATACACCATTCAAATTAAAAGCTCAGTCATATATTAAATGCCACTGTGGAAATAATGGAAGCATAATTTTTAATAACTCTATTTTATAGAGGAAGAGGCCCATGAAGGCAAAAGTGCCCAGGAGCTATAAAAGTCCTGTCCAAGTGGCCAACAAATTAGCAACAGAGATGGCAAACTGCATATCTGACAATTATGCTGGTCTTTGACCATAGTAAAGATTTGATTGATATCTGACAAAAGAGAATATAAGAATCTTGTAGTCTGCCAGCTCGAGATCTAGCATGAATACAGATCTAATTTTACCTTGAGGAATAGTCATATATTGTGAGATGGCTTTTCTAATTAAACATTGTGGTTGGATAATTTTGGTCCAATATATTGTGTGGGCCCCGTCAGTATGTATCTTATAAAGATCAGTGTGATTGGGTATTATTTGCCATGGATTAGTATATTGTGTGGATATAGCCTGAAGGCAAGAAAATACATTTTTTAAGAGGCAATATTTGGAAACCTAAGAAGCATCCTTAGAGTTGAACTCAAGTCTTGCTTAATTCATGGGCACATTCATGTGGTTTTCTTTTGTGTGTTTCTTTTATGTTATGTTTAATCTACAGGCCTGTTATTACATAGAAATCTCCCATCTGAATACTAACCAAGCCTAATTGTGTTTAGCTTTCAAGCTCACATAAGGCCAGCCAAGTAAATACTAACGGAGAAGCAAGGCCTCCTTATTCACACTTGTACCTAAAGTGACCATGATTTAAGATAAAAAGGAAATGGCAAAATTACATTTCATTAAATCATAGGCCCCAAAGTGAACTAAGGTCTCATACTGTGTCTATTTGTAATAAAAGAGAAATGAGTGCTTTGGTGATAATGGAAGCTTTCTTTCTGTTACAAGTAGCTGGTGTAGATACAACCGTCCCCCAGTTTTCATAAGGACTGCAACTGAGGTAAAATTAAAAATTTCTCCTGCCATTTGCTAGGGTATTTTATTTATTTATATTTATTAAGAGTTTTCATATTATAAAAGATAATCAAAAACATGCAGGAAAAGAAAAACTAAAGTTGAGAAGCATATAAATGACTTCCAGCTTTTTAGACAGAGTAATACAATCACATTCGTCCCTTGGTCCTCTTAAATATTTTGCAAATCCCCACACCCCGCTCCTTTAATTCACATCTTTCCTAGTCTTCAAATCCACAAATCATTTTTTTTTCTTTTTTCAGCAAAAAATCCATATAAGGATTCCTGTCTTTCAAAAAAAAATTTTTTTTTGTTCTCTGACCAAACTGTTCAATTTCACCTTTTCAGCAAGTTTGGACATTTTCAAAATCAAATTCTTCTTCACTGTGGGAATATTATAACTCTTCCATTGTTTTGCATAAAACATCCCTGCTGCAGTTACCCATCAATCTACCATGTGTCTTTTTAAATTTATCGTCCATCAGTCCCAATTAGCAATATTAATCTTTAAGTTCCTTTGCCTCGTTATGTCAATTTATAGCCAAATTTTCTTAGCTTTCTGAAAACTTCCAGGGAAGAAATGATGACATGAATATGGCTTCAATGAGAGCAGAGACTGACATGAAATAAAGACCCTGAGTCAGTGGTGAAATTCAATTTTTTTTACTACAGGTTCATTGAGCACAGGTTGGTGGGCATGGCAGGGGAAGGAAACTGCAAAATCCCCATTCCAACCCCATTCTAGGGGAAGGATATTGCAAAATTCTCATTCCCACCCCACTCCAGGGGAAGGATATTGCAAAATCTCTATTCCCACCCTACTCGGGTGTCAGCCAGAGGTGGCATTTGCCGATTCTCCGAACTACTCAAAATTTCTGCTATCGGTTCTCCAGAACCTGTCAGGACCTGCTGAATTTTACCCATGGCCTGAGTGATTCCTCCCTGGACAAGACGACGACCGAGATCGCCCACAAGACATGCTACAGACAGTTGCTCCTCATGAGGAGATTACAAAATAGCGATCTCTGATAAATTTAGAGTACTAAGAGATGAGGGGAAAGCCATTGTGGCCCAAATGGCAGTTCGAATCTTTAAAAAATGTCTGAGATGGTAAAGATTCTCCTCCTTGAGCAGGGGGCTAGACTAAAAAACCTCCAAGGTCCCTTCCAGCTGTATTCTATTCTTAAAAGGATACAAGGTTCACATATTTCCTTTCTTAATCATCTTTGGAAATTGCTTGTTAATTGCTTTTTGGTTATTATAAACTGTCATAATGGCATAATTTACTACATTGGGCGAGTTTCCTTTAATTCTTAGTGAAAGTTTCATACAAGTTTAAATATTTAACAAAATTCTTTTTGGATGAAATAAATAGAAAAAGGTGAAAGTTATAAATGGACCAATGGATTTGAAATAAGATTTTGAAACCAATTATAAGAATTCTTCCCATGGGAATATGCTGTTTTTTAGAACATCATATAGCTTTTTCATTTCATAGCTTTTTCATAAGGCAAGCATGCTTGATAAAATGTCCCCTCATGTTTTTCACGTTTCCAACACTGACTTGAAATATCTTTGTACATTTTTAATAGTTTCTCTTATGTCATATTCCAATGATATATCAGTTTATAAAAATACAAAACTCCAACTCAGTTACTACAGTACTTTTTATCAGCTCTTTATTTTTAAAGGAAATGAGCACAGTGCCAATGTTTGAATATTGTCAATATGATTGAGCTTCCTGAGCTTTTGTTTCCTTTTCAACTGTAAATACAGAACTTCTGCAACAAAGGCATACTCTGGAAAAGAGAGTTTTGGATATGAATGTTTTAGCAAAATAAAGCAAAAAGAACATTTAAGTAAAACTCCAGAAATAGCTTGACAAATTAAACCAAAGTTAATTTGTCCCTATAGTTAACTAGAAATTCAGTTACTGCTCAAGGTCAAAGTATGCTAAGATCCAAGGATCTCAGTAGACCCCATGTATTAATATTGTGCAGCAACTTGCCATGTGAATCAAGTTTAAAAAGAAATATTCA